TCTTGGGGTGGTTATATTGTGCCGCATAGATAACTAATACCCATTTAGCAGTCTGTGCAGTCATGGAAAAGAATGAGGTCATTCTGAGGTGGGAAGATGGCTAAAGAAGCATCAAAAGATCAAGTCTAAAGACCTGGGGGAGTGGCTCAAGCAGTAGAGTGCCTGCCTAGCAAAGGCAAGGCTCTGAGTTCAAACCTCAGTACCACCAAAAAAGAAAAAAAAAAAAAGCAAGAAAGAAAAATAAATGTCAAATCAACAAGTCTAATAAAACTCTGCCTGCAGACACTGAGAAGATAAATAAACAAGCAGGTCAGCAGCTACTTTATCATAAAAATATCTGTAAAGAATACAATCCAAAGTTTACAGTGATTATCCTGAAGAGTAGGGTTGTAGGAGATTTTCCTTTTCTACAGTTAATACATTTAAATATTATAACGAGTTTGTCTTATTTTTGTAATGAAAAAAATAGATGCTTTAAAAAAAATTCACCTTGGTTTTTGCTTCAAGCAAATGTTTCCTAAAACAGTCATTTGATCTTCATCTCCCTGCTTCCCAAAGCCAGCCTCCTATACCTGAGCTGCTCTGGATGGCATTCCAGGTACCCTAGAGCACGCTCTCTGGCCAGCCAGGTCCCTCTGTCTCCACACTCAGGTCATGCCCACCTCGCCCTCCCACCTCCAAGCTTTCCATCTACCACTGCAACCTCACATAACCTCACAAAGAGGCTTTTCTTATTTTGTGTATTTATTTGGTACTGGGGTTTGAACTCAGGGCCTGCACCTTAAGACACTACACTAGCCCTTTTTTGTGATGGGTTTTTTCAAGATAGGGTCTCTAACTATTTGCCCAGTCTGGCTTCAAACCTCGATCTTCCTGATCTCTGCCTTCTGAGTAACTAGGATTACAGGCGTGAGCCACCAGTGCCGCGCTAAAGAGGCTCTTTCCCCTCACCTCCCTCCAGGACCTGCTCAGTCTCCCAAGTTCCTCCACAGATCCTCAGAAAAAGTTCCACCCACCCTGCCCTAGAAAGGACAATGTCTTGTGTTATATTCACTGCAGACATAACAGTACTAGCCACCACCATTCCCAGTTTCTTGGTCTAATAGCATGAGAAAGCCCTGTTTCCCTCTCTGCCACACACAGCCTGGATGGGGCTGTGACACAGGACCCCAGCCTGGAACTTCTTCTCTACCTCCCAGCAGCGAGCCGGTATGAATCACTGTAAATTTAGAGTGACTCATGCAGTGGCTGATGCTGTATGCACTCTCCCTGCCCACCCTTGGGATCCACTTGCTACATCCATCCATTCATATATACGTAATGGTCAAGCAGATTCACAGTCTGGCTTCAAACCTAATTGCCTTCCTGGGGGACCCAACAACTCCTCCTCGCTCAGGTCCCTGTAATCTGTATGTCCAGTTTTTAAACAAAGCTGTTTAGAATCTCCCAGGATTAAGACAAGTGGAAAATTGCAAGCCCAGATCTCTACCTCATTTTCTCCAAAACAAAACATGTCATTCTGCATGCACGCACGCTCCATTCAAACCCCGTCAGTCACCGTCCTCTAAGCCCTCCTACAGGACTTGACCAAATTGGGCGCTAGGGGCTTGCTGAGGCAGGCTCTCCCTCTGTCCCTGGCACCTCCACCCCCAGAGCTTGTTGGAGAGCTTGGACCCCCACAGACTCCAACTATGGCAGGTTGCCAGGGGAGAGGCTATTGGCAAGGTTGGCAGGTATATATCAACCTTCGGAGAGGGCACAGGTGGGCCTCTCAGCTGAATTCCAGGATGATGTAGAACTCCTGCCCACACAGACCCACGTGGGCACAACCAGCGCATACATGCCAGGGCAAGCACACACATGCTCTATAAGGTCAACCTTGCTCCGGGCATACCCCTGGATCACTTCCCCTACTTGGGCACAGTTCCCAGAGGCCTTCTGCTTCACTCTGACCAGACCCACTCCCCTCACTGGGAATGGAAGAAGCAGACTGTGTGCTGGGGGTGGTATACACACAAGTGTGCACACAGCCAAGGCCTGTAGAAGGCTGTTTTTCTAGCTTTAACCAGGGTTAACTGGATGTTACTCCAGCTATACATGTGCTTCAATTTATTTTTTATATTTTTGTTTTGTTTCAATTTTTGTTTTAAAATGGCCAAATAAGGGTCATTTACCAAATCCAGGCAAAGGTGCTGTAAGCTACTAGGCCAAGGCCTCACCAAGATCCTGCACCAGAGACCACGTGACCCTTCAGCACTCCTGCAGTGATAGACAGACCACTCCAGAGAGCATCTATTGAGCTTCCTGACCCCATCACTCCCAACCCCATCCTTTCTCGTTCCCATCACACATCAGATGTTTTAACAAATGCTGACCATTGAGAGTAAAGATGGTCACAAAACTCTCAAAGTAAGTGGGTATCAAAGAAAAATCCACTTCCAGCTATTCGCTGTTGGGTGTAGAGGACTGAGAGGGAAAAGAAAGGGTGGAAGGGGTATGCTAAACTCAAAAGCACATACAATATTAAACAAAAGGTAATCTGAAAAAAGTCTTCATTTGGCCCCAGCATGCAGAATGAACCACTCTGGGTATGACACTCAGAAAGCCAGAGAAACCTCGTCTGTCCTCTTCCCCAGCCTGGTCCCAGCTGAGTTTTTGGTGTGTGTTGGTTTGGAAGCTAAGCTGCACCCAGGCAGGTGTTCTTAAGCTGAGCTGAGGTTATCAAGCTGTCAGGCTGGAGTCCAGCCATGGAGCCTTCTACCTCTGAACTGTGTCGGCCAGGACCAGGAGGCAGTGAATACTAATGAAAGTAGCCACACAGAGACTGGGGGTGTAGCTCAGTGGCACAGCAATTGTCTCGCATGTGTAAGGCCCTTGGTTCTATGTCTAGTACCATTAAAAAACAAAAAAGTAGCACAGGACAGAAAGGAGGCAGTAAGATAAGCCACTCCCCAGACAGGCGGCCATCTCTGTAAACAACCTCTGCCCCCAATCAGAAATCAGGGCATCAGGTTTACTCATTAATTTCCTTTTTCCCTCCTCCATCCTCCTCTAGGTCAGGGGCAGGGAAGGCAATAGGAGGAGAAATTAGGAAGCCCCAGAACTAGAAGCCAAAACTCAGGCTGGTCTCATCTCACAAACCACCTATAGCAGAACTAGAAGAAACCTAGACCATAGATTGACAGCCTCCCATTGACAGGCAAGAAAATGGGCCTGAAGAAAGCAATTAAGTTGCAAAGGTCACTCACAGTGAGAGGCAGGAGCCGGGATGCAAGCCTCCCTCCCCAGAGCTGGTCATCATTCCAGAGGCCCACAAGCATGACGAGAAATGGCCAAACCAAAGCCCTGGAGGCCACAGTCATCAGACAGGATAAACTTCCTGTCTGCAAAGTCTGTCACTCGGGTCTCCCTCACTTGGGCTTCAACACAGATGTGCAGGCGAAAGCTGGTCACCCAGCTGGAAAAGGCATGATGTCAGGGTCTGTCCTCTATCCAAGGTCATGAGGGTCTCTTGGGAAGCTCCCCACTAAATTCAACCTGGTGGGCCCACCAGGCCTGGCCCCACAGGATCTCTGATGAGACAGGGCCATCATTCCCTTTCCTTTCCTTTCCTTCCCTTCCCTTTCTGCCATCTGACTGTGTTCCCTGGCTGCACTGCACAGTTCAACCATAGGCGTGCTCCAAATTCCCAAACTACAAGAATGATGGCCAGGCACTAGTGGCACACACCTGTAATCCTAGCTACTCAGGAGGCAGAGATCAGAGGGATAGCAGTTCAAAGCCAGTCCGGGCAAATAGTTCAAGAGACCCCCATCTCAAAAATACCCATCACAAAAAAGGGCTGGTGGAGTGGCTCAAGGTGTAGGCCCTGAGTTCAAGCCCCAGTACCGCAAAAAAGAACTACAAGAATGAAAGGCACTCATGAAGGCCCAGGGAAGGAGGAAGACCCAAAATGAGACCTTACACTTTCCTGCGTGGGCAGCCAGGCTTCCCAGGGGCTGGGAAGAGCCACTCAAGTCTGCAAAAGGTCCAGCAGAGCACCTGGGTTGGAATCCCTGCTCCCCCTCACACAGGAGACCCTCCGCCTTAGCTGCTGGTGCTGTGCAGTGCACAGATATGACAGCTACCTCATGAGACTGTTGTGAATGCTAAAGGAGACTTAATACAATTACATTATATTCGCGGTGGACATACAGACCCACCTAAGTACAGTGTGCAAAGCATGCCAGGACAATAACAGGCCACCAAATAACCCCTCTGGAACTCACAGATGGGGAATTTTTTGGTAAAATAAACTACCAGCCAGCACTATCAGGGCCCCTCTTCTTCCTCCAGCAACCATACTATGGGTTCACAGAAGGTAAGAGATTTACAAATCACCCGGCAGGAAGAAGCCACAGGATAAAATGCACGTAAATTAAACCATAAAAAGGCTCAGGTCTGTAAGCATCTGCCCCAGGGAGCCCAAATCAGCACCATCTACTCCCACTGCCAGTAGCTCAGGCCTACTGGCTCAGCAAGGGCTCTGTGGACAAGTGGCTTTTTTAGACAAGCCATCAGCAAGACCTCAGGAGCCTAGAGGAGCAGAAGTGGGCACTTCCTGCAGCATAAAGAGACACAAAGCTAGCCAGGGTTCCCACAGAGGTCGCTCCAACCCCAGCTCTCCAGGCTGCTTGGAAGAGATAGGAAGCAGGAAGTTACAGGCCTCTCCTGCTTCCCTCCACACTATTGGGGTAGCCAAGAAAGAAACCAAGGGTACCCTTTGGCACCAATCAAAACCAGTGGGGTGGGGGGTCAATTTTCTCCTGCCCCCAAAGCCCAGTTCAAAGATCTTATAAATGCAAAGTCACAAGGGCAGGGAGACATCTACAAAATGTCAGCATTCTATTCTATCTCCCCAACCCACAGTTAAAAGGCAAGAAAAACCAACTTTAGACAAAGCTGATAACACACAGACTTTCAGAGGCCCCAGCACACAATGGACCCAGACTGACACTGACCTGGTTTCTTTTTATTTCCTGAAAACACCTTGGCCCCAGGATATTCCTGCAGGAAAATAAAATATTAGGTCATCACTTTGCTATGAAGCCATTCTAAGGTGAATTCTGTTCAGCAATGGCCTCTCTGAAGGGCAGCAGTCTCCCACCAAGAACCCACTCATTCAATAACAAGAAAAGGCCAGAAATGGCAAACAGGTTCCAGCTGTGGTGCCAATTCCACTCAACTGGTGGTGGATGCCTCAACCATTTGGAGACCCCAAGCCTTGGCTCAGCAGGTAAGTCAGCTGTAATAGATTAGGGATGTCTGCTCTGGGCAGTTAAAGAAGTAACAGTATCCATGCCACAGATCTGCCATCCCTGGGTAGACCCTCAACATCCAAAGATTTAACATTTACAATTCTGACCACTCACAAATGACCCAAAGTTTCAAGATACGTCAAAGTAGGCAAGTTTTCTGAGATGTGAGTTTGATTCACATATGCCATGAGGCTGATACAAAGGAAGAGGTCACTGTGTTCTCATGTCTACCACATTAAGGCCACTCTGGTGGAGCAGTAAAGACTTGGTGGAAAACTGCCATTGAGTGAGATGAAAGTGCAGCAGAAATCGGAAGGGCAGTTAAGTTGAGACGTGAGGACAATACAGGAAACACTTGACTCCACGGAAACATGACTCCGGAGAAAGCCAGGCCTGGGTACAAGTATTGCTGTGGATGCAAATTTGGGATTCTAGAAGGTACAAAGTTCATTTTTTTTTTTCTTTTTTTGGCAATACTGGGGTTTGAACTCAGGGCCTCATGCTTGCCAGGCAGGCACTCTACCACCTGAGCCACTCCACCGGCCCTTTTTTTGTGTTAGGTATTTTTGAGATAGGATCTTGAAGTTTGAAACTGCTCCCTGCTCCCAGACCTGCTGTTACCCCTCTACTCCAACCTGCACAGGTCCCAGAGTGCTCAATTGAGCTTACACATGTGAGTTTCTCCTGAATAACCAGACGGATAGATGAAATTCCTTGGCTAAAGCAGGTATCAGTGACTCATGCCTATAATCCTAGCTCCTTGGGAGGCTGAGATTGGAAGGATTGCAGTTCGAGGTCAGCCCAGACAAACAGTTCTTGAGACGCCCATCTCCAAAATAACCAGAGCAAAATGTATTAGAGGCATGATCAAGTGATAGAGCCACCTACTTTGTAAGCACAAAGCCCTGAGTTCAAACCCCATTTCCACCAAAAAAAAAAATTCCTTGGCTGGACATTTGAAGTCCCCACAATACAGCCACTGTCTGTCTCTTCTCCATCAGCCCCACTGGATTATTCACCTATTCCAGCACTTTCTCAGGGTCTGTCCTCAAGCTGGTCCTTCCTCCCTTTGTGAAAATGCAGATCCCTGCCCCGCTTCAAAGTAGGTGTCCACCTTAGTGTTCCTCCTCTGTCAGGGTGACTGAGCCACCTCTGGACCCACTCAACATCCTGCTGAGAAATCACTCACTTTGTGCTTTTATTTTTGAGCCAGGGTCTTGCTATACTGGCCTTGGACTCAAGTCCAGTCTCAGCTCCCCAGTAGCTGGGACTACAGGAGTATACCATATCCTGCTTCACTTTGTACTATTTTTTTTTTCAGCATCAAGGATGAAACCAAAAGCCTCAAGCACACCAGGCAAGTGTTCTCTTGCTGAACTACACCCCAACCCCTTCACTTTGTACTGTGAACTGTCATTTTCAGAACTTAGCACAGAAATTCACTAAAGAAATCATCTTGAGTGGTACAGGAGTGTCTAAGAGGCAAGAGACAAGTGAAGGCAGAAAAGCCATAGGAGTTCCAAAGAAAAAGAGGTGAGTTAGGGATGGGTGACCAGGAAGGCTCCCTGAAAGGAGCTGTACATAAGCAGGCACTTGAAGGATTGGAAGAATGACTGAATGGGAAGGGCATTCCAGGAAGGTAGAACAGCATAAACTAAGGAATGAACAGTTTGGCTAGACCTATGGATTCCTGGAAGGACAAGATAGGAGAGAGAGGAGGCTGGACAGGCAGGCTGGGATCAGAGAGGAAGGCTGCTGAGTGCCAGGCTAAGGCACCAGGATTAGATCCACGCCCTTCTTGTCAGTGGGGACAAGACAAGCACAGAAGGCCTGGGCCTCAGTGGCAAAAGAAAAGTCTCGACCTCTGATGTTCCAAGCGCATTAGCCTCATCTCCCAGCTAGGTTATAAATAACAGTCCCACTTACTGCACACCTGCTGTGTATGCAGCCCTAAACTACATGCTTCACATACATCAGCTCCTTATTCCTACCAAGCCCTGACAACCTGGTACTGTTATCCTGCTTTGCAAGTAGGAAGCTGAGGCAATAGGTAAAGGCCCTTGCCCAAGGCATTACCCACTCGTTCATTCTCTTCACAGGACCTGCAGCACTGGGGTTACAGAGCCCAGGTCCATGGGCTCCCCACCTAAACGAAGCAGGCTACATCTCCACAAAGGCCCTTACTAATCCCTCAAGGGCAGCACAAAGTAAGCTCATAGTGGGAGCTTAGTAAAGCACACTGCTTGAAAGGTAGACCGGTGATTGCCTGGGGCTGGGAGGAGGGAAACAGGGAGATGTGTAATGGATATTGTTTCAGTTTTGCAGAATGAAAAGTTGCAAAATAATATGAACTTATTTAACACAGCTGAACTGTACACTCAGACCGATAAGATGGTAAACTGGAAGTTACGTGTTTTTATCGAAATTAGAAACCTAAAATTTGTCTTAAAAACCACACTTACTGACTGCTGATATCATCTTATGCTGTTAATTATGTGATGCTGGAAGAAACTCTAGAAACATTTTAACCAAAAGCCCTCCAAAATAGAGAGCTGGGAAGGGGAGGTAATTTGGCCAAGGTTGCAGATATAGGTAAGGGTAGGGATAAAACAGGCTCATACAGGAGGGACGAGATACCCACAGCATGAGGGCTCGGAAGCCACAAGTTCAAGTTTTTATTCTTTTTTAATGAGTTTTGTGACCTTAAAGAAGAGATTTATTGGTCAGGCACAGTGGCTTACACCTGTAATCCCAGTTACTCAGGAGGTAGAAATAGGGACAGTTCAAAATCAGCCCAGGCAAAAAGTTAGCAAGACCACCATCTCAACAAACAAGCCAGGCCATGGTAGTACATGCCTGTGGTCCCAGCTACACAAGAAGCCTAAGGAGGAGGATTAAGGTCCAGGTGACCCTGACAAAAAAAAAAAAAATGTGAGACCCTACCTGAAAAATAACTAAAGCAAAAAGAGCTGGCAGTGTGGCTTAAGTGGTAGAACACCTAGCAAGCACAAGACTCTGAATTCAAACCCCAGCACCACAAAAAAAAAAAAATATATATATATATATATACGCTTTCTGAGTCTCATTTTCCTAACCTATAAGAAGGCAATTAAAAGTAATATATATTTCACAAGGGACTGTCTAAATCAGATAAAATTATAAAAGCTAAAGCACAGTGAATGCACTCGAGCTGACTACAAGTTACTTAATAAGCTCTGGTTACTGTTATTAATACCAAATACCTGATCATATTTCATGTTCTCACATGTGTCAAAATAAATAATTAAATAAGTAAATACCTGATTATATATTTAAAAGAGTCCTACCAGAAGATTAAAACCTGATTAAGACAGACCAAATAAAAGAAAAAAGAATAATAACCTGCTCCTTTCTAGAGCACTCTCAGCTGTTCAGGGACTGTGCACAACAGGTCTTCCATGAGGAAGTAGAACCAAATTGCACTTCACATTTATCCACCCAGATCCTCTTCCCTCTCACCCCCAGCCCACTACCCAGCTGCATGGACCACGCCAGGACCAACCCAGACCAGGGTGGGAAGCCGGTGTGATTGTCTGCCTCTCTGGCTGCATTCCTCAGCTAAATATAAATGATTTGTCCAGTCCATTGTTTGAAATGACCAATAAGCCCTTCCCCCCCCCTCCGCATTTTCTTATGATGGCAAGTGTACGGGATATCTTCACAGCAGAACATACACACAAAATATCCTTTGTAGCTATTTGGGGTAGAGCAAGAGGAGCTGGCATGTATACAGGGATCGGAGCATAAGTTCCTGGTTTTCTCCACCAGTCCAGGAAAGCTTCCTGGAGGAGGAAATGCCTCAGTCACCCCAGAGACCTGGACAGCTGCAGGTCAGAAAAGCGCTCTCACATCATGAGTCTGACCCAAGAGAGGTCAACTGCTGCCTTCTCACCCTCGTTCTGGGGGATGGGGAGGAAAGGTCGACACAGCTCAGCTGATCCCATAGTACCCCAGACACTACAGGCATTTGGGGGGAAGATGCAGAAGAGACCAGTACCTTTTTCAAAGAGACAGGAGTTCCAAAACTCTGGTTCCAAGATACATATCTACAAATACTCTCATAATCTGAATTGCTTGTTTGAACTTTAACACACACACACACACACACACACACACACACACACACACACACGAAAGTTTTTTAAAGTCCCAAACTTGAGCGCACAGATGGGTTGCATCTCAGACCTAGGGGTGTGCCAAAGCCCTATCACTCTTGAGTGCCTATCAAGCGCAGTGAGTGGCCCAAGAGGTGGCTGGAGAGCGGGGGTTACACGGGGGGAGGGGGGAGAAGGTGTCTCCCAGCCCTGCGCAGAGGGCCCTGACACTCTCTGGGGGTCCTGTATGGACTGTCTCCAGCCGGTCCCCTGGCCCTTGACAGCTCCGGGGGTCTCCCTTTCTACTGCATCCTACGGGCCTCCCATCCCTTCGCCCGGGCTTCCGCTCTCCGAGGCCCCATTCCCGAAAGGTTTCTCTCCGAGCCTCCCCAGGCAGACCCGGGTCGGCTCGGGGACCGGGCCGCGCACGCACCTTCCCCTTCCCGCGCGCTCCCGCGGCGCGGGCCGGTTCCTCTGGCCTTCACCGCCGGCCCACACCGCCTTCCCGGGGTTCCGCCTCTCCGGGTCGCCCCTTCCCGTAGCTCCCCTCCCCGGGCGCCCCCCGCCGCCCGTGCCCCTCAGGACGGGGTCTGGAGTCCTCCCCGCCCTCCCGCAACTTTACGTGTTCGGGAGCCGCGCGCCGCGGCCGCCTCCCCGGCCGCACTCACCGCGCTCGCCGGAATGTGGGGACCCCGCTCGGCTCGCACTCCCGCACCGCCGCCGCCGCCGCCGCCGCCAGCGGAAACAGGGGGCGGGACCGGGGCGGGACGGGGCTGTCGAGGGGCGGGGCGATCCGAGGGGGCGGGGCGAGTCCCAGGGCCAGAGCGCCGCGCGCTGGGAGCCGGCTAGGAGGGAGTTGGTGAGGGGCGGGCGGCACCCCGGCTTTAGTGGTGTCCCCGGCCTTCGCGCTGGATGTGGGACAGTCGCGCCGCCCGCTCGAAGTTCCGGAACTTCCCTCCGCATCCGCGACCCGATTCCCGCGATTCCCGGCTCCGCCGCTCCCCAGAGGTGGAGCTGCACGACGGCGTCTGTCCCCGGCCAGGATCGGTCCTGGTCGCGCCCTCCCCGAGCTGGGGACAAGGATGGCAGAGCCTGCTAGATGGCGCTCCTGGGCTCTGCGCCCGCACGCCACCCCTAGGCCGCCTGCCAGGGTCTCGGCTTTCCCGCTCGTGCCAGGCTGTCTGGCCTCCCCACCCCCACCCTGATCGTCCTTGGTATTTCGGGCGCACTATTTGAGATGTTGAAAAAGCCCGGAGACACCCTGCTGAGGAGTCGCTCCCTCCTAGGACTAGAGGCCGCCTGGGTTGGTAAAGGGCTCCAAGAGGATAGAGGGCCCCACTGAAGTCCCCACTCAGGTTTGACGTCTCAGGCCTCCTGCTTCTATGCGCCTCCCCAGGCCTGGATTCTTGAAGCCTGAAGGCCTAAACTTGTTTCCAAAGTGACCACTAAACTTCCCATCCTCTCTCCTCATCATGGTTGTCATCGAAAGTGCTACCTGTGCTTCCCATGTGCACTGAGTGTGGATTGAGACTTTTTTTTTTTTAACAGATGGAGTCTGGCTGTATTGCCCAGGCTGGCCCTGAACTCCTGGGCTTCATAGATTCTCCCGCCTCAACTCCCAGAGTAGCTGGGACTGCAGGTGCACCAACCACCAGCATGAGACA